GGGGTTTTGTGTAAAAAAAAAGTGTGTTGGGGGGGGGGGGGTTTTTTTTTTTTTTTTGGGCCCATTTTTTTTTTTTTTTTTTTTTGCTGAGAGTTGAAAAATTACAAGAACAGAAGGAGGGTGAGGGGATGGAGACAATAAAATGCGACATAGGACCAGATGTGAGGGGTGCACAGCAGGTTATGGTCGGCACGTTAAAGTTCAAAACGTCAAGTGGGAATTTATCGGACACATCCTTGGCATTTGCTTTGATGGGGGAACGGTTTTAAAACCGAACTCAAAGATCCTTGTAAAAGATTGATTTTTTTTTTTTTTTTTTATAGTTCTTTGGTAGCACAAGCACACTGGCACAGTGTGTGTTTGGCGAATCAGCAATTTGGTTAGCTATTACAAATGTGCCATTGCACACAAAACAGAATCGAAGGCATTGCCTTAAAAGAGCAGAGATATAATGGAGTAAGGGGTGACTAGAAGGTAAGCAAAAAGTGCTCCCACATCACAAAGAGGATTCTTTTGGCGTCTTTTGACTTCATTTAGGAGTTAGAACTAAATGTTCACTGTAAAGTTATTTTCTTACTAAGTTTCTTTGTGCCTTTTTTTTTTTTTCTTCTTGCAGCATAGCAGAACATACTTTTTTACATCCCACATGTGGGATATTAAAAGGATAAATTGAACTTCGGGATTAAAAACACAAAAAGATAAATTGCAGATTTCCTTCCAGGTCCTCAAGAAGTGCTGGCGCCATTATCAGAACACTGTTAAAGATCTATCCAACATTATTGTGTCCTGTCAAAATAGCTCACGCCTACTGTTTAAATTGATTGACTCGGTTCTGAAAGCCCCACAACCTGCCTGCCTAGAAGTGTGTTCTGAAACGTAATGACTTTATCTTAGAAAAGCTAGTTGCTGCAAGAGCCCTCATCTCAGTATCTGCTTGTGATCCTTCTTGTTTGATCCGCTGTCCATCTGTGTTTGATAAATTTGAACCAGTGAATCTGACCTTTTTTTTTTTTTAAGGATAGAGTTGAAGATATAGCTATGGGAATCTCCTCGTGATCCTGCTCCACTTCACTTCTTTAAGGAGGCTTCACCCAGCATAGAGCAGATCATCCTCACTACTCTAAACAGCTGTTTGCCGTCAGGCATTGTCCCTGCACCTTTTACAATGCGGTGCAGCCTCTATTTTAGAAACCTGGCTGTGGCCAGATTGTTTTAGCAAATTTTAGGCCCATCTCCAAGTTGCCTTTCATTTCGAAATTTTTATAGTCATCCTTTCTCAGCCCTTTTAAGATGAAGACAATATTATGGAGGTTTTTCAGTCAAGTTTCAACACAGTAAACTACCTACTCCTCTATTTAGACCAGAATAAGTAGGTTAACACAACTTTTTATTTATTTATTTTTTTTATTTATGTATTGTAGGTTTATTAAAAAAGTGCCACAGGAGCCTGAGTATGACTGTGTGATATGGCTGAAAAGCCTATAACATGATAAACATTTAATATCAGTCAATATCAATAAATACTGATTAGTTCACCAATATGAAGTAGAAGTAAATTGCTGTGAAAAGCAGTTCTCTGGTTTGGCCACAAGATGGAGCTATAGCTCCTTAAATCGAAACAAGTCGTTGACAGTGAGGACTGGGAGAAATTATGTCAAAAGCCTAATCCACTGTCTGTTTCCTTTTATTAGGATGTGGTGCGGCAGAGTCTTCACATCCAGGCCCAGCGGAAACAGCTGATAGGCTGAGTTTCACCCCGACTGCTCTGGTGCCGTCTGAGCTGCTCGCGCCGTTCTACTGGATGCGAAGTCTTTGTTGCTCCACCTTGTTCTCATTAAGTTCCTGTTCCTTTAAGGGATCTCTCCAGCGTTCACCGTAGTCACGCTGCGCAGGATCCATATTCAGAGAAAGTCCAGCGGTGGAGTGGGGAAATACCAGAGCAACTTTCCTCTCCTCTGGGTGCTGAGCAACTGGAAGGTAAGATAGCTTCAGCAATATCCAAACCTTAGAGGTGATAAGGTAATGAGATGAATTGTTCAAAAAAAAAAAAAAAAAAAGTGGGTCCTAGCAGTAACTGCAACATGTGGACACACACTTCTCAATTTCATTTTGAGCTTGTGAGAACTACTAGAAGAACACTGTAACTTTTTGTATTTTTTTGTCGTTTTTCTTTACTATCATGTCTCATAGAGGCTTTCAAACTCGAATTAACTTTCTCAACTCCTCTGTGACCCGTGGAGGTGCCTCTGTAGCATCTTTAATTAGAAATGCGCAGTAGGATGGATGTTCGTTTTCAAACTATGGCCACAAGTGTAGGAGGTTTCGGCTGCTGGAGTGGAAAGCTCTTTTACATTCACTCCTGTGTACAAACCCAGCAGGAAATACGTGTGCAGAGAGAATATCTTGTCTTTCTCATAAGGCTAAATGTAGAGACAGGGTCGAGCAATCAACCGTGGGCTTTCACCCACTTTTATTTTTGTGAACTTCTTTTTTATGCTGTCCAACCAACAGGAACAGTCAGAGACAAGTGTTGCTTCTATTTCTTCACAGGCTTCATTGAAATAGTCAGAATATCTTTTAATAGGGCTGTGAAATGTTATATTAATCCTATATTAAAGCGGCAGGATGAATGTGGGGAACACATTTGCCCTTTCACATTGTCACCGCTCTGTGAACTCCTCCTCACAAACCTGGTTCTAAAATTGCCCGGCGCAGGAACCCAACTGGACCTGAGAAGTAAGACCTTCAAACTACCAGCATCTCGCCATGAGCACAGACAAGCATCCTGAAGTCGCATCCCCAGAGGAGGACGAGATGGGTGAGCATCTCATTCCTGTTCTTGAATTTGAAAACATACGTGATCAGTCTGAGCTCATTCCTCCGCAGAAACCACCGTCTGACCTGAAGCACTGTTTCAAAAAGATCGAGACGTATTTGTGGAATTTGTGCAAGCTGCAAACATGATAAATGACTTTGTGTCTCTGCAGAGCGTGCGAAAAAAGATTTTCTGTGTGTTAATTGCTAAAAGGGAATATATGAATATTCATTTCTTCGTGTAACAAAACTCTTTGGTGGTTTTATTTTTAATTGACGAGAAACTGATTACGAGAATTGATTTGTGCGCCTATACAGAAGCTTGCAGCGAGGCTGCTGAGGTGAAGGCGCATGAGGAGGAAGAGCAGAAGGAAGACGCCTCTGTCACTGTGAATGGAATGCACTCGGATGCTGTCATGGATGCACGTATGTGCACACACTCTCACATATGCACAATTTACTTCTCAACGAATGAATTTGCAGTTCATCTTACATTTTAAGCAGCTTGCTAAAGAAAAAGTACAACTGCAAATACCAGAGAGCTAATGAAAATGCAGTATTATTTTTTTTCTTTGTGGAAATGAAGCATTTGTTGGTACAATTTGTAGTTTGTTTACCTTTATTTATTTAGTTAGGAGACTGGAAATCTCTCTTCCAAGATTATCACGGTCAAAATAGGCTGTAAGACTGTTCTATCACATAGAGAAATTGCTATGCATATTTTTTTTAAAAAAAGGTTTTATTGGCTCTAGTGGTCTTTATTTTATAGTGAATTGACAGGTAAGTGGGTAATGAGAGAAGGAGGAAGACATGCGGCAAAGGTCGCCAGGCCAGGAATCAAACCCGTGACAGCGGCGTTGAGGACCAAGGCCCCCCACATGTGGGCCAAGCTCAACCCCTGCACCACCACAGCTCCCCCTGCTTTAGATAATTTTAAATGCCAAAGAAGCAAAACCTGAGAATTTTAAGACATGCAGGAATTGATAGTTAAACGGATCTAATTTCTAATATTTACCGTCAGACATATTGTCCTTTCGCAGCTTCCAGTAGAATGAGATTATTATAGAACTACAGATTTTGGGGAAAAATGGACAAGTGGAGCGACTGCTACTTATTAGATAAGTGATTAATACTTTATTTGTTTAGATAGAGTAAAAAAAAATAAGGAAGTCTGGAAGAGAAACTGTAATCCAGCCCTACTCTCCATTTTCTGTCAGTATCCACAATTTTGTTTTAAGATTTCATTAATTCCCATGAAGTATATAAACCAAACTTCAATTCCGTTCATTTTCATTAATCGATTTTTAGTGGGACGTTGAACTGTATCTCGTCTCCACTGCATGTTAATTAATTGGAAATGTTGAATTTGCCAGGGGGTCCCAGACTCTGTGTCAGTTAACAGCAAGTAGCCAATCGTAACAGTTTGTTCCAGCTCCAAAAGTTTCTTAGCTTCAGTCCTCAGTGTTGAGAAGAGAACATCGTGTGCAGGCGGCGCTCCCTTCTTATTTCTGGTTGGCTGCCATCTAGCCGACCGGGTGCACTTCCTAAAGCCCTGCTCTGCGTTCTGCTGCACGGCCCTGCGGTTCACTGCTCTCAGAGACCCTGGACTCTATATTGGGTGTCACAGATCTCTGTGCTTGCAAAGTTTCCATAGCACCTCTGAGCGCTCTCCACAATACAAGGCGCTGCTCTTTAGCTCATCATCAGCCACCGCCAAGACCACAGTGTGGTTTCTGGATGGAACTGAGTAGCTCTCAGGGCTGGTTCACGCTTAGCAAGAGGCTAGGTGAGAGGTCCTGCAAGATGAGCCTCAGGACTCTGCATGTCAGCAGCTGCGGTGCTGATAACTGTGCATTCAGCAAGCGGATTCCTCTAAGCTGTCATGGTGAAGCACACAGTGCCTGTCAAAAGTGTTCCTCAAAAGGTTTTCCACATTTTGTCAGAGGCAGATATAGTAAGAAGAGCATTCCTTCACTATATTTTGCTCAAGTAAAAGTACAATGTAATCATGCAACAAATTACTGAAGAGTAAAACGCTTTTGAAAAGGCTGCTCAAGTACGGATCATTTGATGTCATCAGACGGACAAAAGTAAATCTATGTGGCAAATTCTGGTGTTTTAAAGTTTAAAATGAAAATGACAAATTCAGGCACAAGACAGTGTCTTCCAAATCCAATTTGTTGAATATCGAACTTCTAAAACTAATGCTGAAGCTTTATAACTGTGTTAGAACAATGTAAATAACTTCTAGTGAGCATTTTCAAGCCTGTTTTTCATGAAGTGGAGTTTATTGCAATGTGTAGAGTATCCAGAAGACTTTCTCAAGTAAAAGTAGTGATACTTTATAACAAATACTACTCAAGTAAAAAGTAAACCTACGTCTAAATGTTTTTTGTTTTTTGTTTTTTTCACAAAAGCTACTCGAATTTAGCTGAGTAAATGTAAGTAGTTCTCTGCATTTTGTCATTTTACGAACACAGACCTCATTGTTTTTCATTTGGTTGTGTGTCTTTGTGTTCAACCATATTTATTCTGATACTCCTAAATATAATCTAGTGCCAACAATGTGCCTTCATAGCTGTCCACCGAATTGACCAGCTGGGTAAGGAGAGCACAGAACGATCTAGAGCCGTACGGTAACTCTGGAGGAGCTGCAGCGATCAACAGCTCAAGTGAAGATTTTGGCCTACATGCAAAACGATCTTGATCTAAATGGTGGAAAAGTAAAACTGCACATCACATGTGAATCATGGTTTTCGCAGCATCGTGCATTGACAATGGTTTTGCGAAGCATTATCAGAGAAACCGGTCAGAGTTGATGGGAAGGTGGATGGAGCTAAATACACAGCAGTGTTAGAAGAGAACCTGAGACTTGAGTTTCACCTCTGAGCGGGGCAATGGCGAGAAGCGTGCAGCGAGAGCTACAGTAGAGTGGACTAGGTCAAAGCTCGTTTGTGTGTTGGAATGGCCCAGTCAAAGTCCAGAGCTTGATCCTACTTAGAACAAGAGGCAAAACTCGAAATGTTTTGCTTAGAGATGCTCACCTGACTGAGCTTGAGCTATCTTACAAAGAAAAAGTAACAAAATCAGTCACCAGATGTGCAGCGCTGCTAGAGCATACCCCACAAGACATGAAACTTTGAGGTGGTTCTACACGCTGTCGACGGAGGAGGGCTGAATTCAAAATGCATGCAGCACTTTTCAAATTTTTGGGTTGTAGAAAAACATGCGTTTCCTTCCACTTCACAGTCATGAACTACTTTGTGCAAAACTATTACAAAACATCCCAATGACATTACATGCATTGGCGTTTTTAGTTCTGACATGAGAAAAAGTGAAAAAGTGAAGGGAACTCTTTTGTAGGACACTGTACGTTGACATCTTGTGGCTATAAACAGGGTCCATAAAGAAAAAAAAAAAAAAAAAGCAGGTCATATTATTACTTGTGACAGTGCTGATGAACACACCAACTCCTTTAAAGCAAAGGGAACTGGTTTTGTCTGTGTGAGGCGCCTGTTGTGCTTTTCTCCTGTCCTGGTTCTACTTTCTGCGTATTCATAGGAAACGCTCTCCTCTTATCTCAGGCGCACATCTACTGAATCTCTGAGACACTAAACGTCGGCCCAAATTAAGCTCCCCACACTTTGGAGACGTGCCTGTGCTAATATCGAACTTTAAATATAAAAGTAGAAGTGAAGACGTGTCTGTTTCGCATTCTGGCTCCTCTAGCTTTTTAAGCTCCTTATTTGGAAGTGGGAAATGTTTTACATGTTAGTTGTTCTCGTAGGGTTCAGTTTAAGTCTCTACACATGCGATTAGAAAGGTCTCTAAATGTTTGCCTTGCTTCTTTATTACTCCGATGTCCTGTCTAGGCGTGATAAAAACCGAAGCCGAGGAGCCGGACGGTGCTGAGCACGCAGTGATTGTGCCCAAAGAGGAAGCGGAGGGAGACAGCGAGGACGGGATGGAGGAAGGCGTTGACGAGGACAGGACAGAGGAGGACAACGACGAGCAGAGGAATGAGGAAGGCATGAACGAGCCGCAGGACCTGTCACTGGTCGACTACTCGCGCTACGAAGCGGCGTCCCTGCCAGACGGCCAAACGACAGGTGCGTTGGATGAGGCTGCAGACGGGGGCTACGCGCCCGGATCCACGGCGCCCCGCGTTCCGACACAGGGGAAACTCAGCTGCGACATCTGCGGTCTCTCCTGCATCAGCATTAATGTGCTGCTAGTGCACAAGCGCAGCCACACTGGTAAGCACCAAAAACAACAACAACAAAAAAAAAAAATCATACAACAGCAGTTGACCTGAAACAGACAAACAGCTGCACGATCATCTATCTGATACCAACGGAATCGTCTCTTATTGATGGGGTCAGTACGTTTGTTCTGCGTGCATTTGGCACGTCGCTGCCACCTAATCGGCAGGCGGGATCTGGTTGTGAAATATCTTCCATTGTAGTTCACTGACGAGCACAGAACAGCTAACTGTTTGATTTGATGGCAATTGCAGATAGAGTTCAGATGAGCATGCAAAGAGCCTAAGATGCAGGATGGAAAACAGTCAAAATTTTGGACTCGACGCAAAACTTGACGTCTTTTCCTCACTGAGACGCACGTTTGACGGGAGCGAGTCACGAACGCCATAAAAACGCCGGCGTCCCGCGGTTGCCCTGATGGTGTAGCACCTATTTGCTGATGATTAACACTTTCAGATCTCCACTGCTAGTTCTTGTTTGTTTCTTGTTTCCTTTTATAGGTTTTGTAAACTGAACCAGACTTCAGGAAAGTCCCAGGGTCCCCATGCAGATTTAAGATGTTCCCAAATAGTTTCTTTTTAAGATATTTTTGCAAACGCTGAATTTTACTGATTTCAAATGCCAGTTCATATCAATTCCTGATAAGCAGGAAATGAACTGGAAAATGGCCCCGTATTGGATGCAACAGGTCGCCAGTGGGTTCCACCTAAATTGCCCCTGTAACTATGATTACAGGTAAGCCCTGGCTAGAAAGTGGGAGCATATGGGCCCCAAATGAGTCGCCATGTGAACCGAATTTTTGAACACTAATTTGAGACCCCACAAAGGCGTACGCATGGCTATAGTTTTACTGATATTTGCTGTCCCTGTACGAGAAGCCCATTATGCCCATAATGCTAGGAATGGGTAATTATTGTTTTGTTTTTAATTGTGTGGGGAGGAGGGGGAGGGGGGAGATGTGATGAGAACTGTAAATTATGGGGATGACGATAAACTGACGTTTGGAGCCCCAGAAACTGACTTTGATGTTCGAGGGCATCATTTGAAATTCCAGCTAAATGCAGCTTTTCTGTGCTGTTTAGCAGTAAAGGCCTCAATGATGGCATAAGCGATGAGCAATACTTGTTTATGGGGCTCTAAATGTGTTCAGTAACGCTACTAAAAAAGACCAGAAACACTTGGTCTTCTGGCCTTTATTTGCAGTATTCATACAGAAAATTGGCAGCGAGAGAAAGGGGAACACATGCAGCTCAAGTCAGTAATGGAGCCTCATACGGCTTGGTTGAGGAGTAATAGCCTCTGGATGCGGGGCACCTGCTCTACTGTTCTGCAGCGCACCATCCGGAAACATTTATTTTTAGGATGGTAGACATTAATTTGCTTTTGTGAAGCAGCCTCTTAAAGTTATTAACAACTTAATGGGCAGAATAACGGCATTAAAGATTCTATGTTTTGCTTTTAAAAGAAAAAAGAATCCATTTTAGATTTTCAAATGGAGCCGGAGCAACGACGCGTCCAAATTCCAAAAATAGTGGAACGGCTTTGAGTTTCTTTGTCTGTGAAACATGCATGTAATAAGAGCTGACTGCTGCGGTGGAGTTTTCAATGTCAACAAATCTCGTCGCAATTTCTAGTACACCACAAAACCTGAAAATTCGGTGTGGAATTTTGAAATAGAAAATGTGTGGGAACCTTCCACATCAGGTTTTGTCACTTATTACCCATCACTACTACAGAAGCAAACCTCCAAACGCCTCATCTGGGTTACCGGTACAGTTGAGTCCAAATGATTCATACTTCTAGTAGATTTACATTTTTCTTTTCTTTTTTTTCATTCAATCAAAAGGTTTCTGTCTGACATTTCACACCAAAAATAAAAAATAAAAAGACAATCTAAAAGGGACATCCTTTTCTCTGTTTCATTTACATTTTTCAAAAAAAAAAAAAAAAGGCATGATTAAAATTATGCACACCTTTCTCAGTTGTCGGTGGAAAAGATGTTATTGGCATTAAACCCTTCTTAAAATAGCTGACCGGGTTTTTTTGCATACGTCTGTTGGTTTTTTGACTATTTATTTTTGGTAGATTAGAGGTTTTTAATCAAATGGCTTGCTTGCCATTACCCTAATCTTTAGCTAGCTTCTCAGATTATCAGATTCAAGTCATGACTCTGGCTTGGTCGCTGCAAAGCAACAATCCTGCCTCCAGTCTGAAGAAACACGCTGTTCAACATGCTGCCCAACTACTGCTGTGTTTTTGGGGGCATTTCAGTGAATGCATTGCAGTATCACGTATAGAACGTGCTGTATTGTAGCATTTTGGATCCTTTTTTTGTTTTTGTTTTTTTCTGTACTGATGAAGACAGTTCTATAAATGATGGGGGAGCTTTTCTAAAAATGACAAATGTAAAGATAAGGTTGAAAAATCTTGTAGACGATGCCCACCTTTCAAAGAGTACATTCTAGTTGAGACGCTACCAGACGGCCGAACTAGCTTTAGTCCCCGTCAGCTGGACTCGTGGGGGAACATGTGACGCGTTGCACCGCTTTCGGCCGAGGCCGTTTTCACCATCTTGCGCACAACTGGCTTGGTGGTCTGAGTCGTGAGAACGTCTTCTCTCGACAATCAGTGGATGTTGCTTTGTTCCCCTTTCAAAAGATGGTGAATGATTCTGTGTTTTGCAATTCACTGTAATAATGGGAAACTACACAGTAATTGCAAAAAAAAAAAAACAAAACAGAAATGCATTTTTTATGTATATTTATATATCAATGCCATGACCAGCAAGCCAATAGAAGCAGCAAATATGCAATAAGTTTCTTCTGCAATTTAATGAGTTAAACCATGTGGGTTTCGTTTTTTTTTTTTTTTTTTTTTTTTTCCCTCTCCTCTGGGTTTTTTTTTTTTTTTTTTTTTTGTTTCTCAGGTGAGAGGCCATTCCACTGCACTCAGTGTGGGGCCTCCTTCACCCAGAAGGGAAACCTGCTTCGCCACATCAAACTGCACTCCGGAGAGAAGCCTTTCAAATGCCCGATGTGCAGCTACGCCTGCCGACGACGCGACGCTCTCAGCGGGCACCTGCGCACCCATTCTGGTAGCAGCCAGCCACATGATGCATGCGTTCTTAATCACTCAGCACGCACACACGGCGTCAAAGCCGCCCATATATCGTATGCACCTGCAAACAGTGCCATGTCAGTTACTCCTTTGGGTCTAGGTTCTCTCTCCCTTTTGAATCTCGGCTCGTGAGGTTTTGCGGGAGGGCTCTTGGCTTTTCCAGTAACAGCCCCGCCGTGCGTTCTTGCAAACAACACACATTGCATTATGATATCTTTTACTCAATCGCCTCTGGAAACTTACTCATTCACTTTCAAGTCACGTGTTTTTTTTTTCTCAAAAAAAAAAAAAAGGCAAAAAGAAACACCTAATCAGTTTTGAGCGAAACTGCACACTTTGTGAAATCATACGTGCTGTGCCAGTTTTCATGCCGTCAATGTTTTTTGGTGATTAACTGAAACTCTTGCTCGCAGTAGAGAAGCCCTTCAAGTGCAACCACTGCAGTCGCAGCTACAAGCAGCGGAGCTCCCTCGACGAGCACAGAGAGAGGTGCCATGTGTACATTCAGAGCAAAGGTCCCGCCGAGAGAGGTGAGCAGCCGTCACACTCTCTGAAAACATCTCCGAAACTTCACACATGCAGCTGCTGCAGCCATCGAGTCCACGAAAACACACTGTTGCCCTTTTTTTTGTTGTTTTTTTTTTTCTTTCCTTCTTGCGTTCGTTCGTGAGCGTACGCAGCGGGCGCGCAGTTAAAAAGCCAGCAGATCCTGTTTTTATGGCCTCATTAAATTAATGAACTTATAGCTGGTGCCCCATGATTACAGACTAAATAGGTTATGGCTGCTGTGGTGTGATGGCTCAGTGCAGAGGAGACCGCTTCTCATGTCTGTATCAGCAAAGGGGAAGCCAAATAGGGCAAACGTTTGGGCCCGGGCCGGCCCAGCGCAGGCACGCTCGCGTAAGACGTCGGCCCCCGCTGCCGACTGCACCTTATTGTACCGGCAGGACAGTTGCACGATTGCAACACACAAGAAGGCACACTGTTTCTGTGGTCACCGAATGTCGTAAGTTTTGCTTGATAGTGCTATAGTGGTGAGGAAGTACATCCTCATCCTGTGGTCTCTCCTCCTTCACTGATGAGGTAAAGAAAAAAGAAAAAAAAAACAGGAAGTGAGGTCAGAGGAGCATCTAATGTCAAATTAATGAGTTGTTCCTCCTCGCTGGTTTATTTATTTATTTGCGCTTCATTTTATGAAGAGCGGTGGCTTGGCAACAGGTCTTCGTTTTCTTGACGTTGCTGTCGTCTTTCTTACTCTTTTTTTCTTTTTCTTTCTTTCTTTCATTGTCGTTTTGTGGTCCAGCAGAGGACAGCCACACAGCCAGGTCTCAGATGGGCTCAGAGCGCGCGCTGCTTCTCGACAGGCTCGCCAGCAACGTTGCCAAGCGGAAAAGTTCAATGCCACAGAAGTTCACTGGTAAGAGCAAGCACGGTGGCGTACCTCAAACTGCCAAAAGGGCGTACTTTTGTACAGCAACCTTATTTAACATGCTGCGTTCTTACGTTTGTGTTTTTAAATGAAATTACACCAGTTTTCAAACTAGCTTTTGCTGCAATTGCTGCTGTTGTTTTTGACATGTTACCAGTGCCTTGCAAAAAGTCTTGACACCCCCTGAGCTTTTCTGCCTCACACTTCAGTGTGTTTATTTGGAGTTTGATGCGACAGACCAACAAAAATTAGAACACGATTGTGTTTTTGCTTTGATCTCAATCACTCGGTTGGAGCTCTTGGTTCATTTCCATAACAATTTTCCCAGAATTGCCTTGTATTTAACTCCATGCATCATCTTCTAGCTAAAGAAAAACACTCCCAGGGTATGATGCTGCCACCAACATCTTTTGTATGTAGGTCAAAAATGTAGTTTTGGTTATATCCTCTTCTCCTTCCTGAGCTGTGGAGTAACTGGTGCCTCTTGGCCGCTTCTCTAAAAAAAAAACCCAAAGTCTTCTCCTTGCCCAACCTATCGACTTTAAGTGACACCCTTGTCTTGGCAGAAAATAATTGGCATGTTGTGTCTTAATGTGTCCCGGTTCCAGACCTTATCCCAGAGCTCCATGCTGTGTTCCCTGGTCTTGGTCAGGCTGTTCCTTCATTAATGCCAAAACCGTGGCTCCCCTTGGGAATGATGTGTTCAGAATAATGAGGCCAAAAGGTTCTCTTCTAATGGCGCATATTTATGGTGTCGTCCGCAAAATAACATGACTTTAAACTTCTCCACAGCCTGACGAGGCTGTTTATTCACTAATGTTCTCTAATAAACCTTTGAGGTTTTCGCAGAACAGCTGGAGTCGTACTGAGATTAAATTACACACAGGTGGAGTTTATGTACTGATGAGGTGCAGGAAATGGTCGGACTGGATTCTATTTAGGGGTAGCAGATGAAAGGGGGGAGAAAGCATATCACAACTTTTTTTTTAGGTTCTTTTCGTTATAGAAAGGATGTTTGAAAATCGTGCATCGTTTCCATTTGAATCTACAATTATAAGGTAATTGGTTTTGGTCTGTCGCATGCGATCCTGGCGAAATCAACTGAAGTGTGTGGATGGTAACCTTTTGCAAGACACTTCATGTGTTAAGTTGCATCTATTTTCCCCCCCTGACAGCTCCTTCTGTAAATGCTGCTGCCTTTTTCTCAAGTTCACAACAGTTTGCTTGTAGCGATGCTTTAAAGGTCTTTAAATAAAGAAGTCTGTTGTAAATGATTTCTGTCTGCCTGAGCTTCTTGTTTGTCTGTGTATCTTTGCTGGCGTCTGTCTCCTGCCAGACGAGAACTGGGGCCAGAACACCTGGCTCACACCACAAAGTGCTTCCCACTGCCCTAGATTTTCTGCCCAGAGCGGTGTCAGTGTTGGGTGTGTGTGACCGTCCATGGTTAATTGAACAAATTTATGTAAAAAAAAACCCAAAAAAACAAAAGAAATATGATTCTGAAAGTTCTCAGTAGTATTACTCATTTTCTTTGCTTTGAATTGGACTCGGATAATCCGCTGGAGTGATGAATGATCTGAAGGTATCAGTTTCAGTAAACGGCTGAGTTGGCGCTGTCATTTCCCAAACTTTGAGCATACGCACAATTTTTCAAGTCTCCTCTCACCTCTCTGGTTAAGCTCAACATTGGGGTTGTAGTTTCGCAATCACGCCTCAAGCTTCCCGCGAGCACACACACACACACACACACACATACATATCAACTAAGACACACACACACACACACAACACTCCTACGTCTATCAGCTTGGCAAATGAAGTGAGATCTTTCAATATGACAACCACAGGGGAAAAGAGAAGTAAGAGAGTCTGCAACCACAGAGAAAGATAGAACAAGCGGGAGGCGAGAAACGTGAGCAGGTGTTTCTCTGTCGATACTTCTGTAGCAGCTGCAACAAAGACCTTCGTCTGCGCCGTCTGCTTCCTCTCAGCCCTCTGTCCTCTCCTGGCTCAGGATGTTTTCTTGCTTTTAAGCTTCTTTTGTCCCACGACGTGCCTGCGCACCAGGTTAGCCAAATGGGGTGCACATTTTTTTGCGCTGTGCGTGCTGCACACCAAAGCGAGGACCCCAGTGAGCCCCATCTGGATCTGTCTAAGCTCTTGCCCATCTGTAAGCAATAAGCGCTCTGACTGCAGTTTTCTGCTGCTTGTCCATGTGCAGTGCCTTGCAAAAGTATTCTTAGCCCTTTGTCACGTCGAAACCACAAACTTCACTGTATTATATTGGGAGTTTATGTGACAGACAAACTATAAGGGGATGAATACAAATGTTCACTGCAGTAGAGATTTTAAACACCCTGACTTGTTTTCCTCCTCCTTCGCAAGATTACTTTTCTTTGTGTTGGTCAATCACACTGCAAAAAACACAAAATCTTGCTAAGTATTTTTCTGTCTGATTTCTACTGCAAATATCTTTGTACACTTGAAATAAGTCAAAACTATCAATCAATCAAATTTTATTTGTATAGCACATTTCAGCAGCAAGGCATTTCAAAGTGCTTTACATAATTAAAATAAAAACTGCATGTGACATTGAATAAACAGTGAGAAAGAGAACAGTTAGCAGCTAACTACTAACTAATAAGCAACTTTTCAGCAAGAGATACCTTGTCTTAAGTTAATGATTCCTTAATATTGATGAAAAAAATACTCGTTATAAGTGAAACAATCTCTCTGTGGAACGAGTCACTTTTCCCGTATTAGAAGTTAAACTGCACCAATATTTAATTCCAAGTTATAATGTAAATAAGGTATTTGAACTCAAATCTGGACCAGTTTGTTTTTGCAGTGTGTAGAAAAACTGAAAAAAAACATTGATTTTTGTGGCTACAACGTGACAAAATGTGGAAAAAGTGCAACCGGTATTAATACTTTAACAAGGTACTGTGATGCTCTTCAGTGAAGTATGTGAAACCAGCCCATGTTGAATCTTCAGCGCTCTCTTGTGTCACTGGTGTAGGCGACAACGGGGTCTGCCTGGACCTGAGCTTTAACAGGGAGCTGCTCCACCGATCTGACATAAAGGACCCTCCACCCGGCTCACCTGGGCCAGAGGGCCAGCTGCAGACAGTCCTTGCAGGCCCAGATGGCGACCCACCTCCCACCCACAGACCGTACCCCATCCCGTTAAACCGCACCGATATCAACCCAATCAGCCTCACCAATGGCCACAAGATGCCCCTCCTGGGCCTTCCTCACGGAGCACAGCCGCCCCTCAGCATGGACTCCTTCCACGACGCCGCCTCCCAGATGACCCAGCCCGTCATGTACAGCCTGGGTCACCTGCTGGGGGGAATCAATCACCAGAACGGCGTCCCGCACCCACATAGCCAGCCCTTTCCGCTGACGCCCCTCGAGGCCCTGCGGGTCATGCGGGCGGACGGAGAGTCCGGGGCGCCGCCCGGAGCCGTGTACCCCTGCGGCCACTGCAGGGTGCTCTTCCTGGACTATGTCATGTTCACCATCCACATGGGATGCCACGGCTTCCGCGACCCGCTCGAATGCAACGTCTGTGGCCACCGCAGCCGGGACCGTTACGAGTTCTCCTCCCACATAGCCCGCGGCGAGCACCGCCTAGAACTCAAGTAGACTGCGTTCATGCACACAAACGGTCACCGCCATGGAGACAGACAGCGACTTAGTCATACAAGTAGCTGGTAGTATTAGAAATGAAAGCATAAAGTGGCGGCTCTGTCTGTCCTCGGCGTTTGTTAAAGTGTGTGTGAGTATAAACGTCGTGGGAGTGTGGCGGCTGTTCTTAGTCATCCATCTGAAAAGATGGCCTGTAAAGAGTTATTGCAGGAGCATTTCTACTCCTCAGCATGCATATATTTGTACGTAACGAGGTTGTCTTTTTGCATAAAGCCGCGTGTTCCCACTCACACAAAGCAGCACAAAATACTGTATTTATGCTGTACCTACTGTTTTATTTTGTCTGTATAAAGATGTAAGAAAACTAAAAAAATAAAAGAGCGGTTCTGTCATCACACACAAGCTGCAGAGCGTTTAGAGATGTTCAAGTTTGCCAATACTGACTGCAGAAAAGAAAAAAAAAAACAACAAAAAAAACCATCCTATTATCTCGAAGGTCACATGTCTCTTTTTTTAAGGCTGTGGTTTTCAGAGATCTGCAGTTCACGGCTTCAAAGGACACCACTCTGCACAATGTGCTGGTTTCTCACTCCAGAATAATATACTCATTTAGCGTTCCCACGAGGTAGAGAAGCCTCAGTTTTACTGCTCGAAGCACAGAACCGAATCACTTTTTTGTTGCTGCAAGATAAGGGAAACTATTCCAGTGCCTTCAATGTAAATGAGTTACTGGATCGTCCCACTGATGCCTGACAGGTGTCAGATCTTACACTTGACTATTTCTAAGACGAGAAACTGGTTATATTTCACATCAGACGTCTCTCCGGGTCGTCACGATCTCGGGACGCATTGCTGAGGACTCTCGGTCTAAATGAACAACAGCTAACTCATTATTCAGTCAGGAAAGGACGAGAAAAGGCACACAAATTAATTTCAGTCAGCAGTTTCTCCTTCCTCCTCATTCTCGCCTCACCCACAGAATGAATAGTAACAGTAATCCCCACAGCATGATGCTGCCACCATCATGCCAGTAAAACTCCAGATAATGGGAATTTATCTGTGTGTAGGGCAAAAAAAAAAATGCATTGAAAAATGAGGGTTTTGTGGGAATTTTCAACATGACACACTTTTAAAAACTTCCGCTGACGACCAAAATGTGCAGTGGGGAAGTTTTGGTGAACACACTCACACACACACACACAAAAAAAAAAAATTGACAAGCCACAGAACTACTTCATCATGGCCGTGCGTCGGATTGCGCGTGCGTGTGGATGCACTTCGCCCACATGGCAGTGCAGGAACTCGTTCACGCCTTGCTGGCTTTAAGACCAGAGGAGGGTGTTAGCTTCTTCCAGCTGCTACCTCACTATCTGTCCTCTCTATCAGAGCCAGTTCCCCTTTCTCTGTTTGGGTTTGAAGAGAAGTGACACTTGTGAGGCCAAACTGTCTTCACAGCTTCAATTCCACATGTCGAGTTAAAAAGCCAAGTCATTCATTACATCAGCACGGCTTTGCTGCTTCTCTTTTCCCAAGCACAAGACGATGAATTCAAGGCATTCGTCTTCTGGGTAAACGGTACACAATACCGAGTAAATAAACTCTGACTAAAGCGGATGTAATTGCCCGTTCATGGAAGTGTGAGTGGCATTTTTAATGAAGTAATGTGTTATTGAGTATTGAAGGGATGTGCTTGTGCCAAAAAGTCCCATTCCCAACATAAAACCCAGGGTTAAGAAGTTGGACTCAGTACATTCAGAAGATGTCGGGTTTTTAGTGACATCTACTGACTGATGCCTGGGACTCACGCGAGGTACTCAGAAGAGACGTTACAAAGCAAAAACGAAACAAATTATCTGTGATGTAGAGCTGGCTGGCTGAAACAGATGAGAAGACAAGTAGTTTAGGTCCATTACCCTTTGCTAACGATACTAGACGGAAGATTGGTGAAAGAAATGAAGTGAAAAGAGCGCCTATGGTTATTTATACCGACTTCCATCAAACCCAACCTGACCATGTTCTAGTTTCAAGTTGGGAAACCCTTGGTCAGTTTTTGCGCTCAGTAATCAGGCAAGCCACTAAAAGCACTACAAGCAATTAGCAAAGTACATGCCTGCATATGCATTAAAACAAATAAAGGAAAAATTTGATCATTTTTAAATGTATTTTTTTTGCATGTGGAAGATTTAGTGAGATTCAAACTACAGTAAGCGCAACTTTACTATGATTCAAGTACACAAAATTTTGAGATGAAGGTTGATGAGAATCTTGTTTTTCCTTTTTTTTATTTCTGGTTTTAGGAAGCCATTTTGCTTACTTGTCTGACTTTGATTTTTTTTTTCTTTTACTCCAAGAATCCAATTCAAATAAATAAGGCTTTCTACACTTTTTTGTGACAACCAATAAAAAATAAATCTAAACATTTGCTGCTTTAGAGCAAAAGTTGAATACAAGTTTTTTGTGTAATGAGTTGTACACAAACAACTCATTATTTTCTTGTGCGGTGCAATACCTTTCCAAATAATTAAAAGGAGATTATTATAAAGTGAAGAAGAATGCAGTTATACCAGGGATGCTTGTGTTTATTGTTTCCCCATGGAAGCCCTTAAGGGCCAAAAGAAAAAAACAATATTCACTGATTACTTATGTGTCATTTTAGTTGTAGATCATGTAATAAAGATAAATATATGTCAATAAAAATGTTTTGTTTACAAAAGGCATTCATAATTGATTCAAAGTGTCTTTAATTACTTCATTATTGTCTGCTGCAGCACCTAGTAAATCTGTTTTATTAGTAATAAATTAGCGATTTTAGCAGTGAACCTTAACTGTCACAGCTGTTCAAGTGAATGCAGTTGTTCTGAATTTGTCTTGCAGGGCAGAATAGAAAATCAAATGTTGGGGTTTATCGGAGTGGGGTGCTTCTTATTTCAGCCTCAGCTTTTCATATTGTTGTAATTTTTGTAGACCTGTTTGCCATTGTCTGCCGTTCTGACCATGTTTGAGATGTTTTGTAGGTGCATTGACAACATCTCAAAAAATCTACTCGTACTGTTCGGTATGAAAATGTGGTTTTATTGCTCCAATAATATTCCAAATTTTATGTCTGAAGGTGTCTTACTAATTTTTGTTTGATCAGGGTTCAGATATGTGTTATATTTGACTGGGGATAATTGGGCTTAGAGACAAAATAAATCAAGGATATAAACCAAACTTTTGACAAAATTCTAAACTTCTTTTGTTAAAATTACGAATCAGACATGAGCATTCCATGAGTATTTATCACCACAATTAATTCGATACAGAAATTGTTTTAAGAAAATGGCCCACGGTTTGTTTGAGCATGAAATGATAGGCTACAAACAACGGTAACCAAGTAACATTAATCTATGGTGCACTCCAGCAAAGGAATAAGGGAAAATAAAATACAAACATTGTTTTAAGATATACCATGGTTTAAAGATTTACCTAAAATAATTTATATATATATATATATATATATATATATATATATATATATATATATATATATATATATATATATATATATGTATGTTACTTTCCACGTTATGACATTATAGCCCATTGGGGAGAAAGCCAGCTTCAGCCCGAATGGTGAAATACCGGAGAAATATCTTGCAATTGCATTCTTACAAAGTCCAGCAGATGGCGTTGTTTCTTCACAGTTTATTAAAAAAAAAAAAAGCAGTCAACGGTTTTTGCTGCTTGAGCTAAATTATTTTAACAGAGCAATTGAGCGATGGGTGAAATGTATGATTTTATCTAGTTGAAAGACATATAGAGCTATGAGCTTAAAATGTTAAGATAGAAAATTGATTCAGATCCCAAGTTGATGCCTTTGCAGGACAAATTGTGAGCATGCGCACTGCATCTGTTCTGAGGACGGGAGGAGGACATCACGGTAAAACGTAGAAGCTGCGAAGCAGCGCAATTTTTTACACGCCGAGATTTGGTTTCACCGCTGCGGCAAAAACACTCCCGTGCTTCTGACGCGGCAGATGACTATGCCCGGTACAGCGTTAAAGTGCCGGATGTCTACCTGACAGGCCTGGCCGAGGTCTGGGCCGTTACTCGGGAGGAGAAATTTATTTCTTCATATGGGAGAAGCATGCGGGAAATGGTCGGAGGCTGCTGCGTGTGTTCAGACGAGCGAGGCTGGGCTGAGAACCCGCTGGTGTACTGTGATGGACACGGCTGCAGCGTCGCCGTTCACCAAGGTAACATTTAGCCGCCGTTAGCTTATAATTAGCGGGCAGCTGTGGTCGCTGAGCCCGGCGGCTGGAAGCGGCCAGCGGCGCTCAGAGGACGGCAGGTCTCTGAGGTAGGCTCGCTCTGTGTACGTGCGTGTTGCGAGCGTGTGGGAGGGGTAGGCAGGGTAGCAGGCAGGCGTGCTGTTTGTTGTGAACGCTCAGGGCCAGGCAGGCTTGCTGACATCAAGGAAGGATGGATGGTGCCTCCATGACCGGTCCGTGTGTGGCTGATCATGACACGCAACCAGTTTTCACCACAAGCCAGCCCCGGTGAGGCCCGCCGGCTTGGACACTTGCTTTGTTTTATTTACCTCGTATAATTGGGCGCAGCTAACTCCCAGGATCATATATCCATGGAGTAAATCGTCAGACTTGATTCTGCGATGTTTATTATTTACAGAGCCTGGCAAAAGTATTCACTTCTTGAACTTTTGTTTTATTCTTCACATTGCAACCGCAAAGTTGGAACAGACCAACACGACGTAGTGCAGAATTGTGATGTTGTAGAAAAGAAATGCATGCAAGGTGTGCTTTTTATTTTGTTTGTTTGTTTTGTTTTTACATTCAAGCTGTTGTTTGAAGGCCTCAGTTAGTGAACATCACTGAGACCAAAGAACATAGCAGACAAGTTAAAACTACAAATACTGAGTTTTTGAGCACTTTGAGTAATGTATAACAATGTACCAGTTTCATGAGGATCCACATAAACTATCAGACTCATCTGGCTGTAAGGAGATAATAATCAGAGGAGGAGCCAAGAGGCCCACGGTAACTCTGGAGGAGCTTTAGATATCCACAGCTCAGATAGGACGATTTGATGGGAGGACAACTATGGAGGAAAACATGCAGGAACAGATCTGAGACTCGGTCAGGTTTGGACTGCGGGTCTGTGAACATCAATTTTCAAGTCTTGCCCCAGATTGGGCTCTAATGCATCGACATGCCTTCGTTTACCTGCTCTGTTCTCTGTATTTCTGTCATAGTCCTGCTGGAAGGTGGAATTGTAATAGGATTTTCCACAAAATGTTGTTTCAGTCAGATTTGAATACAGATGCGCTCCACTTTTTCCAGGTTTTATGTTCGTATGGAAAATAAAAGCACATACAACCCAAGATTATGGACTTCTCTGTGTCCTCTAACACAAATTACAGTAATAACACTGAAGATTATGGCTGCCAAATGACAACG